ATCAAGCTTTTTTGGTGTTCTTTAGTGTGTCTATATATTGTTAAATATGTTTTTCATCTGTCCATAAAGGATAAAATACTAACAGTTATATATGACCATTATAACGGTCATATTCTCTGTGCTAAGAATGTGGTGTCCGAGATACCAACCTGATTACAAGTTATTCTTTGTATATAGGAGAAATAACTACAAGATGGCAATGTCAAAGCATGGAATGCTTACACAATGAAATATTAATGAAAATACATTGCACTTACATCTCTATGACATCTAAATGGGAATCAGTTATCCAGCCTTCAATGTTTTCAACAGATTGCTAATCTGTTAAAAAAAAGGGAAAAAAAAAATCCAGTTAAAAATGTCAGCCAGCAAGACTTTCAGATTCATAATAATTACTAATTTGTTGACTTCCTATAACTGAATAATAATATGCTGCTTGCTTAGTGCAAGCTCATAAATGCTGAATCAAAAACATGAAGAAGTCCATGAAATGAAATATGGGGAGCTTTACAGTACTAATTTTCTTCTGAGCAGAAAATGTAGCTGTAGTGTTAAAAATGTGAGCAGGGGTATTAACATTTTGTTTGTGCAGAGCAAAATGTTCATAGAAAGGAGTTTGTGGCACTATTAKTTTTATAGTGCTCCAGCAACGCAGCTGGAATTGCTGGAATTGCAGTTTAAGATGGATTTCCATGAGCTATAGATTTTCATAACTACCCTCATTACAACTTGCCTCTTTGATACACTCTCATACTTATTTATTTAAACATATGAGAAATAGACTGCTATATTAATCAGAGGGCATAATGAAGTGCTCTCTCATTGAGAAGTTTTAATCTTAATCAAAACCTGACCTATGTGGTATATTTTAAAAAATAAGGCATATATTATTCAATGGTGCTAATAGAACTTCCAATGTCACATTAATTTATACCAGCCAGAATTAGTATCTATTTTAAGTTAGTACTGTAAGTTGAATGACGATATAAACTTCTCATTTTTTGGTTAGATTTTAATAGCATAGAATGGCTCTGTTCGACCATCAGTGAATCACACTGGCTGACACTGTAGTCCCTTTATGTGGCCATGATCGCCCTTGCTGGGCGTATTATATTAAATCGGGAGGTGTGACTTGACCTAGGCAAACTGGTGAGCGGAACAAAAGTTGATAAGTGTCTCAAGTCATGAAGAACATTAAATCTTTCATTGGGACAAATTTGTCTGAGGCTATAAAACAGCATTACGTGGTCTCCTGCCAYAGTGGATTCAGGCCGTGCAGTCATCTACAGCCTAACTAATTCCAGCTGGGGCTGGGAGTAACCTGCAGGCTCAGATCTGCTCCCGTGCAAGGAAATTGAGCTGTATGGAAGAGGTTTCCAGCCTGAGCTCTTCTGGAYGTGCTTTCAGCATGTGGCTCACTCTGTGCCACAGTGTGGGGCACCTCCGTTCAGTGTGAATTCAGCTAGAAGAGACTTACCAAGGGTTTGCTCAAATGTGCACATTGCCTCAAAAGAAAAAAAAAGCAAGAAAAGAAATCTAAATATTTCACAAAGGAACCTTTAGGTAAATTGTGTTAAGTAGGCTAAGTGCTAAAGCTGTAAAATTGATTGTTGTGTTGGTATCACGTGTAATGACTGCAGTCAGAGGTGCTTTTGTTTTATTCTGGTGAAGTTCAATGATTTTTTTGTGTGTATGAAGATTAGATCATTTCTAGAGGTTCTATTTAGAAGGGAAGTCTCAAAGCTTAGACATTAGCTTGTCTGTTAAAAAAATACCGTAATTATAGCACTGTTATAACAATGATTTAATTACAATCCTTTTCTGTTCACATTAAATCTTTTATATGGAGAACTGAGTTACAGTACCATAGAATATAAATGTGGCATATATTCTTATTCACACTACACGTTCTCATGATAGAACTTATTTCAGAAAAATAATGCTTCAGGTATGTTTTTTTCCTAATTTAGGAAACTAAATTTTCGTATTTTTAGGAGATAGTCTTCAAAAATAACTAAGAAAAAACACATATTTTTTGTATTGAAATATCTAGCAGTGCACTTAGGACTGCTGCATAATTCTACACACACAATTACTGCATTTATTTATGGACAATCTTTGGTTTACCTTTTTTTGTGGTAAAACCTAAAAGCTCTGTTAGAGATGAAGCCATAATACAGCAAGACAGTGCTACAGACTACAGAAGGTACAATTTCTGACTAAGCAAATACAGAATAATTTAATTGGAACTGCGGCCAGAGCATTTGCTGGTTTTGATACCATGTATTTACGTGATCCGCTGTGTGGCTGGAGCACTGGGCAAGGATGTGTTATGGTGCTGAWCTTACATTTACTGAGTTTAGGGAGCTTGCAGGAGAGCGAGTATCTGCAAGAGGGTCTCCAAGAGAAGGGGCCGTGCGGAAGCGGCTCCCGTCCTCTCCTGCAGACTCTGCTGCTTCCGATGCTCCGACTGCAGCTCTGCTTGGCCAAAGGGAGCCAGTGCCGTAATTCATCGTGTTCTGAGAAACGATGAATTGTTCCMGGTATCTTTCCCATGTGGAATAAGTAAGCTTTCAGCAGGTCAGTAGCTAGATCTGTTTTTCTTTTATTTTTTTTCCCCGCTCTTTATTTATTTATTTCTCTGGAAAACAAAGTATTTCTTTCAGCATCATTAAGCAATTCATCCTGTTCCCCACCAAGATCCCCACAGTTTACCCGCAGTTTTATTGATTCTTCTGAACCGTATTATACAATGTACACAGCCAGTCAATGAGGTGATGATGACAATCAATAGAAAGTATAATAAAATAATAAACTTGGCTGGGAACAGCAGCAGTAAACGCAGACCTTAGAATTTAACCTGTGAACTACATTTACATTTGACAGACCCTGTCTGTATTAAAGCTTTTTCTAGCAGATTTGGGGCTAGGTTTATATTTGTTGCTTGGTAGGGCATCCGATCAATCTTTCATTTGTTTTTTAAGTAGTGAGATAACAGCATGCATTCTCATAGGTCTTTGCAAGTGCTGAACATGTCTGCTATTTCTCTACTGTAARGAAAAATAAAACACTGAACTTGGTGAAGTTACACTAACATAAAACATGTGCTAGCAGAACACTGTCCCCAAACTGGCTACCCCCAGATTTGGATGCTGCAGTTTCCTTTGTTGTTAAACCAGTGGCACTAAAATTTGTTGATTTAGAGCTCGTTAATGAATTATCAATGTCTAAGATGTTTCAGGCTACGTATACACAGCAACACATCGCRGCTAGATTGTATTTGTTTTCTGTTCTTGTTTAATGTAAATTAGCTCAATTAGCCTGGCAAGTGATTTGCTAAAAATAATTCTTGCAGGTCGTCATGTGACGAAATTTGAAACGCAGTCTGCATCTGTTTATCAGGCACCAGGAAGCTTTAAAAATTGTTTACATTAGATAGGGTAATAACTCTTAGCTATAGTATTATTTAGTATTTTCCTAGCAATAATATTTCAAACTCTGTATCTACTTTACTGTAACAGATAAACTCAAAAGCACTGAGTAGTCTCTCAGCCTAGAAGAGAAGGTCTCTATACTGCAGAGGAGAGCAGAACATAAAAGGCAACTACTTGCAGTGCATCAATAGAGGTAGCAATCAAAGAGGAGTCATAGCTCTTGCTTTCTAAAGAACAACAYCTAATGCAATGTATTTGATTATGTTCAAAATGCTTTACCCTGTTGCTATACGATGTTCTTCTTCCCTTGTCTTGCTGCCATCAGCTTTGCATGCCTTAGTATAAGGCAGAAATGACTGCCCTTGAGCTGAGAGGTTGAACGTTTAGGTAAATGTAAACAACTGAACTGAGAGTGTTTGGGAAGAAAAGCCCTGCTAGGATTTTGCATGCTAGTATACTTGTATCCATGGACCATCACACAGCTCTGCTCTAAGCAGGAAACACTTTGAACTTGGAGTTCAAAGCGAACTTTAGCAAACAGGGCCACTCTGCAGCTTCTGCCTCAAGGTTTGAGCAGGGCGGCTCAACGGAGGGCAGGGACATGAGCAGGTCTTGCACGGCTCTGCTCATGGCTCTGCAGGCCAGCAGTGGTCTATGAAGGTGAGGGAGGAGTGTGTGAAGGTCAGGGAAGCTGTTACATTACCCCACATCGACATGCYGTTCCTCATACATGCACAAACCTGCAGCAAATTCCCCTATAACCTTAGRTGCTCGTCATTAAAGATGGTTATGTGGTACAGCTGTAGTTTTACTGCATCATTAGAGGAGCTTCCAATCTAGTGCCTCCAAAGATGTCTGCAGCTACATCTCTGTGTACTCAGATAAAAAGAGAGTGGTTGTCCAGCTTAAGAAGAAGAACTCTTTATCTTCTGAGAATTTTCATCCTCGTGGTAGCTACAGAYACTAGGTCCCATTGTCAGCACTTCAGAATTTTTGTATTTTACATCCGTGGAAAGGAGTTTCTGTTACTGTAACTCATCATTTAAGGAGAATTTCTTGTTCAAGAGCCTGTACTGTCTCAGCCCTTGCAGTGTGCATGTGTACATGCATACATTTAAATATATATGCATGCAGCAGGAATTATTTACCTTATCATTGAAATGCAGCCAGCTCTCAGATGAGATGTGGAGACTATTAARTAGTGGACAGAATTATTCTATGAATAGGTAATGAAGGAAATGAGAACATGACAAGGAGATTTTAGTTGGGGTGTGTGTGTATATATATATATATATATATGTATATATATGTGTGTGCGTGTGTATACATATATATACACACGTGTGTGTACATATATATAAAAAAAGACCTGTATTGGCTTTGCCTGAAGTAGTTGAGCTTCATATATTAGTCCTGGCAGGAATGACAGTGAATATTTAACACAAGTCAGAACTTTCACACTTCTATGTTTCACATTCAGTATATCTTTATAAGTGCGTTATTCATCGTACCAAAAGTGATATAAACAAATCCTGTTTTGCAGGCTGCAGTTTACTCTCCAAGTGGCATTTTAAGAGCAAACCTTCCCTCCTTGACATACCACAGTGACAAATTGCATCCAATACATCTACCTCTGCTAGGAGGGGAACACCGTACTGGTAAGGATTTATATAGTAGAGAGCCATGYGGAATATGTAACTGGCTGGCATTTTTAGTGCCCTGCCTTGATTTGAGACAGCCTTGGTAATATGCAGCCTATCTTCTTTGTCCTTGACTATTTTGAGATTTTGGTTTGTTTGTTTGTTTGCGTGCTAGCCAGAAAAGCCTCAAAAGATTTGCTTACAACAGATGAGACCAGATCCTTTTGCAGTCTCACAGAACATACTTAGCTTAGGAAAGACTGATTAATTAAAAAGAATGGACACTATAACTAGAGGCAAACACAATAAGTGATATTTTAGGAATAACCTGATACTTGTTTCATGAAAAGCTATGAAAKATCTATATGATTAATTCAAGACATTCCACTCAATTGGCAGTTTCTTTTTTTTGTGCTCCTCTGAGGCTACCTTTCAAAGACATTACATTGTGCTAATTAACTTTTTGTACTGCTTTCCTTTAAATTACTTTTCATCCCAGCATAATAACACCTGATCTGAAAAAAAGAAATTAGAAAACAAAGAGTAATTTTGAGTCTTACATGATTCTTGGAAATGAAAAAGAATCTGGTTCTACTAAGTGCAATCTTTCTGATCACCCTACTAATGTGAAGGTGTAAAAGACTCAGCTAATAATTCCATTAAAGTCAGCTGGGCGATTTGCAGAAAAAAAGAACTACTCATGAAGAGTATCAAAAGCTGACTAGACAAAAGCAAGTGTAACTCAGAGGAACCACCTTGCCCCTTTGGCTTTCCACCCATCACTGATGAGCTTCAAACCTGCCACCTCTTCTCCAAGTAGTAATTAGAATCAGATTTCAAAACATAAAACTCATTTGAAAACAACTGTAWTGCCTCAATGCATTTGCACATCTTACAGATATCACCGTCAGAATACTGTTAACTTCTTATTCAGTGGCAGAAAATGCCATACTAAACATTCATTCTAATGCTCAAACTTTCATTATACCTATGTAAAGGAAATACACTTTTTAGCGTTTAGGATGTTGGTTCAGCTTCAATACTACCTTCTATGTACAAAATAATCTGAGGAGAAGTTTCATTTGGCAACCAAAACTGAGATCATAAAAATGTGCATATCCTCATAAAAGACAAAATGTATTCTGAGTGTAGGAAGAGTTTGTGATTATAGAAACACACAAACTGCAAAGGATAACTCTTCATATAATAAAACAAATAATGCATACACATAAAGAAAACCCACGAATTATCCCCAATGTCTTTTTTTGTCAGTTTATAATCCATTAATTCATTATCTATAAATGAAATAAGTATTTGTATAAAAATCTTGTACATGGCAAACAACAATCTAGTCTTCACTTGATGCAACCTAGTGAATTTTCCACAATAGCAGCTGTGTGGTGAGTCTGAGAAAGCCAGTGAAGGGAGCAACACCCATGCAGAGAATGCTTCAACCCTTCCTCTCATCTGTCCTCCCCCCAGCACCTTTCAGCCACTGCAGGTGTCTGGAACAAGCATCTCCAGCCCATGATTCATCCCACCTCTCTCCAATGATTAACAGAATTGCTAAAAGGGTTTGCATAAAGTTGCTGTCTCCTTCTTGCATAGATAATGCTAAGTCAGAGGAATGTTGCTTGGGATATCTACTAACTTTGCTAAATGTTTAAGATCTGTTCTACTTCTGTCTGAACTTGTGAAGAGGAGCACAGCATTATGGTCTTGGTGATTTGGACAGGACAACGCAGGTTGTGCCCTGTAATGATGCTGCAGGGATGTCTTTTGAATGAGTTCCTTCTGCAGACCAAGGTAAGCAAACCAAGATTCTTTTTTTTTTGTGCAATGCAATATATGGTTCTTTTCACCAAAAATAGGAAAGAGCAGCAAAATGGCATGGATTTTTTTAATGCTGTGCTCTGTTTTAGGCCATGTGACTGGGTAATAAGTACTTGTTGTCTGTTAGAAAGACATACATGGTATTAGTGTCAGCTGGAGTCCTGTGCAGTTAGATAAAGGCAAGCTATCAAAGATTGAACCAGCCATAAGATCTGAGAGGTTGTTGTTGTTATTGTTAGTTTTTAAGAATTTGCTTTCCAAATTTGCCTCAACTTTGTTATTTCTGTTGGAGGTGGTGAATTTGCATTATCCTTCTTGCGCGTTTCCATGTTAGATGATGAGCTTTTAGGGACCTTTTTTTGTTCTGATTGATTGTAAGGGTTTTGATTTGTTTTTATTCAGAAAACAAAAGCAAGTCAGTTGGTTCTCTAATGATTTGCTTGAAATAAGTGAGGAATGTGGATTCCTAGCTAGTAAATATGTTTATAGCTGGTACCAATGCAAGAATGTATTCACAGCATCAGTGATTAAGCTGAAGGTGGAAAGCTGGAAGGCTTTACTGGGGTCTTTATGTGTAAAAGATGCATATACTTGTTTGGGATTTGTCATTCTGTACTTCCTCAAAGATGATGTCCTGTGAAGTCCTCCTGTCCTGTCCTCAAAGTGTGTCCTGTAAAAGTARAAGGACTTTGAGGAAGTCCATGCCTTTTCATTGATGCTTATGATTTTTGAAGACTGCTACATTAGTGCATAAACGTGGTTATAAAATGTTGACACCTTCATTCAAACTTTGACTGTGTAAAACAGCAAGATTAAAATGAATTGTTCTTTCCCATGAGTAAAAACACAAAAATGGAAATTGTTTTTCATTTTGTTTCATTATTTTTCATTTTATTTATTATTTTTATTTYTATTTAACTCTCCTGTGCTCTGAAGTTAGGCTCAGTGATTATTTGCCCATTTTTACCTGCTTTACCTGAAACAACAAGTGAAGTAAGCCCAAATTCCTATAAAATACAGTAATTCCACCGTATCACTGGAATCACTATGTTTTATAGGAATTTGAGTTTACTTAATTTGTTCAACATAAAATTCATCATAAAACTAACTTTAAGAACAATTCCTTTAGATGCAGATTTTTGGAAAAAAAGTTAATTAAAATGTGTTCCTGCTTGTGATTCTTACCTMGATACAGCCTGTTTCAGCAATAAATCTTTTTCATGTTTGACAAGCTATTTTAAGAGATAAGAATGATTATGAGTTTTCCTGTTGATAGGAATTACAATTAAGCATTTCAATTCTTTTTCAACATAGGTGTGCCCTAGAACAGTTACCTGCTCTGACTTGAACCCTCCCCCTGCCTCTCACCCCCCTTCTTGGTTTTAAAGCAGAAAACCTTTAGAAATCTGTGGGGGATTTCTTTTTTCTTTTGTTCTTTTCCCCCTAGAGAAGCAGTTCCTTTAATGACATGTTTGAAAACATTTTTGAAAATATAAGGTGGCTTTTTATTTATTTATTTATTTTTAGTGCTTTACAGATAACCTGTTATTTGAATGTAACAGTCCTTTATGTTTGGCAAGTGATGCAGTGAATAACAAGGGAAGTTTGGATAGTCAAAATGTTCTCTTAAGTTTTGTGTGAGTCGTCTTTTCAAGGTTGAAAGTAAATAAACGAATATATGATGCATATGAGTCTTCCTTGCATGAGAAACCCTCCCTCCTGCCTCTTTGTTAGACCTGTTGTGAAGGGGTGGATATAGGCTTTAATTTCTTAAACAAATTTATTATAAAAATTGTGTTTTATGTATATAAATAGATTGCCTTCTACAAGGGCTATGTTGCAAATCACTGATGGTTAACATAAAGAAATCGGTACAAAATTATACATAAACTGTCTTGTGGGATGATTTTTCATTACAGAGTATTGTTCTGTCAAAATATAGATGTGGTATCAGCTCACATTGTAAAAAATCAGAGTCATATCCTTTAATGATATTTTCTTTCAACACTATGTTTGATTCTGRAGTCCTAAATTTTCATACAAAAATCTTGTTTTGTAAATCTGGAATGTGAAGATACCAAACCGTCTTTTATTTGGAAATTTAAAAAATATTCTGGCTAAGGTATTTTACAAGTGGTTTGATTTCATATGGCATCAAAAAAWGGAAATTGGTCTGTAGAAATCACTTCAGTGAATTGTTGCACAGATCTAAATCACAGTTCTGTGTCCACGTTCCTGCTCTYTTAGATTTATCAATATAAGATTTCAGTTCCTTGGGTTGTGCAATATTTCGTGAATATTAGATACTTTTCATTAAAAAAATTCTAATCATCGTGGGGTGTACATTAGAGCTCCTAGAAATGCTTACTATTATTTAAACTGGAACAAGTATGTATTTTTTAATAATAAAAAGAGGAAAAAGAAAAAAAAGCTTAGAAAAATCAGGAAGAAAAAAATAGCACTGTGGACTTTTCCCTCCCACTTCTTTTTCTTTTTTTAAGAATGTTTCTAAGATGTAGAAAGGTTTAGCAACCCCAGAAAGGTTTAGAAACATTAGGTTAGAAAGAACCTTTAGTTAGAAAGGTTTAGTTAGAAAGCAACTCAGCCTTAGAGAGCTTTCAGTGAAGGTGAAACCCCATCTGTCTGYACCTCCTTTTGAAGCAGGAGACGCTTTAGGTCCTTGAACATTTCCAGGGCTTGGAAGCCCCTGATGGTGCTGGTTACTGCTGAAGATGTTGGSTAAACAAACCTGCACGACACATTGCTTAGGGAAGAGACAGTGCGAGCTTGCAGTCAGGGCCGTAATGAGTGATTTATTTGTTTCCTTCTCCCTGGGCTTACCCATCATTACGTGTTCATTAAGTAATAATTGTCATTGATCGACAGACTTGCGTATGGATGACGGTAACAGAAACAGGGCTATTAAACCTTCACTGGGTAGAACAAGTGCATGCCACAACCAATAAGGTAGATTAATGAGAAGAATTAAACTGAGGATAGTTACATTATGGACCATTTCCTTTCTTGTTTTATTTATGATTAGTGTCAAGAATACGGTATCTCTGAGACCTTCAGAAGTAAAAGTGGAACAATATAAGATGGAGCCTTGGCCTAAGACTATGCTGTGCAAATGCTCCGACCCTCAACAAGAGCTGGTCGTAATTTTTATAATAACTGAAAGTTGGTTTGAAGGTTTTCAGATAAACTTTATATATAGCGTGTAGTTGAAGTAATGGGATGAGTAGATCATAAATAAGAGTCAAAGCCAAATTGGGCTTCTCATAGATCACTTATGGATATGTCCATGTATAATTAAGTGTTTCAAGGATCAAAATGGCCTAGATTAGTACCAGCTGGGTAAATTGTTCATTTTTCAAGTCTATATTCTTGTTRTTATGACACTTGTTTATTTATATTACCTAGGGAACTTTAAACAGGAGAAGTTTTTGGAATGGATCCATTTGTCAGATCATTTCCCATCAGTTGAGGCTTCCATATATTCTYGTAAAGAGTATGTTGCCTCTAGGAACGAGATGCCCTTGCTTTGAAACTATATTCAGCTTCAGAGTTATTGTTATCCATTGCTGAACACTTCCATATATCAAAATATTTTTCTGACTTCTCAAGCAGGAATATAATAGTTACCGATAATCTTTATCTTGGTAGCTTCTTTAAGCCGTATATTCATGTCGAAGAAGTATTGCTGAAAATATTCTCTCATGCAGCATGTATTACACTATTTCTGATATACAGTATCACCTATTTATTTGTTCGTGCTGCTAGGCTTATTTTGCTCAGTTGCATCTGAAAGCCTCATGTGTGACTATTGCCCTGGCTGGGAAASGGGCTTGATGAGCTTGGAGCAGAGATTATTTTCTCCTTTTCATTATCATTGCAGGCCATCTGCAATCAATCTTTTAATAAAAATGAAATGCGTTTTGTTGACTTTTGCAGACTGAAAGGTCAGGGCAACACTTAACGAGAGCAAAAGATGGAACAAAAATAACAATGTGAACAACTCTGTGGGGAAATGGGAGAGGGTTAATTAAGTATGCTGATTATGGCCATTTTCTAGTCCCAGAAAACACTGTCCTATGTAGGTGCTTTAGAAATACTGCTTTAATTATTATACTAGATAAGAAAACTACCTTAGGGTAGATTCTGCCAGTGCTTTCCCATTGATTGCTCCAAAAATCTAATACTGCAGTAATTTCTCTGCCACTACTGGCAGGACTGGCTCAGAATATCTACTGTAACTGCTTGTAATTCAGCAGTGGTATCAACTCCAAAGCAAAAAATTCCAGCCTGCATCTCAATCCAGGAACAGGAAACTCTGGATAATTATATTTAAGCCACAAGGGTGGGAAATAAGAATCATTTGGCTTTCTGAAGGTGTTCTATGGTGKTTTTTTTAAATTACTTTAAGAAAAGTCAAAACTACAAAGTATGCCCATTGTACCCAATTTAAGAGTCAGTTTAAACCCAACCAGGCTCTGGTTTGTATGTGTTTGAACAAGACAAAAGTACAAGTAAGGAAAGCGGGAATAGTTGCAGGAGCACTTGACCCAATACTTTGTGATTTATTTGTGACATGTCTTATGATGCCCTCTTTTTCTCCTTGAGAATAAGTGGTAACAACTGGAAAGGCTGTTTTAAAATAGTATTTAAAATTTGAGGCCGTTATCTGTTTTTGTGTAGTATTTATTTTCCTTAGAAGTTTTCTTTGTTGTTTTAGAAAATGAGCCTTGGAAAGCATTCAGTAGAAGAGAGGAGGGAATTGTTTCTTTTCAGTTGCCTAAATGGCTCTTGATCTGCTATTGTTATTTATTTATTTATTTAAGGATATTTTTGATGTGTTGATGCCCCGTTGCTTCCCTGGGGGCTGCCACAGGGTTGTGTTGGTTGAGGCAGCCTTCTCATGGCACAGAAAAATTGTATGGTGAGAGCTGGGCATCAGGACTAAGACTCTCATA